CTTTCCAAAAAGTTGGTGGAGACTAAAAAGAATATTGCATATTCTTCAGTGTATTAGTTTGTGAAGTTAGCTTTAATCTTACCGGTAGCAACCGTAACTGCAGAGCAAGCTTTTTCTACAAGGAAGTTTGTGAAGAATCATTTGCATAACTGTATGGAAGATGCGTGGATGACTGACTATTTGGTTACATACATAGAAAGAGATGTCTTTTAGAGCATTGACAATGAAAATATCATGCATCGCTTTTAGGATATGAAAAATCTGCGAGACTCATTGTAAAAGTACACATTAAAATGTCTTTTTTTTTAACTGATTGTCTAAATGCTTGCTACATCCTTTGATGTATACATATCTTGAAGACAATCTTCTATTAATTACTTAATGCATGCCAAGTCTTTGTTTTATGAATTTGATTTTGATATGTATTTGTTTATGTTATATACTCAAATAATTTAGAATCTAATTGCAATATTGGATTTTGTAGAGAATTTTAACTAGCAAGTATACATCTTGATTTCATTAATGGTAAAAATACTCACTTTTGTTTATCTATCACAGTACAAGCAAAACATAATGGCATGAAACTAATAGTGTATCTACCGAGAATATTTCTATTAGGTACTACTGCCTACCCCACTCGTGTCATAGACCACTTTTTGCATTACACTTTTCCACACACATTCAATAAAATAAAGGAAAAAATGCTTCCAGCCCCCAAAACAGGAGAAAATGTGCCTCCCACCCCCAAGACTTTTTCAACGGGTGCTTTGCCTCCAAAAGTAACCTTTTTATTCTATGAGCCCCCAAAACACAAAGCTCAATAATTTTATACATGTAAAGACTATAATACCCATTCTCTCTCTCTAACCCTGCAATCCCTCTGCTCTCCCTTCTCCCTCCCCCACCTCTCTACCCGCCGCCGTCCTCCTCCTGCCATCCTCTCCTTCTCCATCACCGTCGCTCCGGCCATCCACAACATCCTCAAGATCCACAATACGGAGAAAACTCTGGCGCGGTTCGAGGAGTACAGAGATATCATCCGCTCGAGGGCCGAGCAAAACTCCAGTGACATTGGGGGGTGCATGTGTCTCTGTCGGAGGAGCTAAAGATGGAGATCGCTTTCATGCACGTGTTGAGTAACTGCTAGTATGGTGCTTTCTCTCAAGAGATCTGGATCTGGAATGCCTACTGTGATGGGAAGTACCATTCTGATGTTCGCGGGTTGGAGATTTGTTTCCTTCATGATGCTTCGTTGGTGACATCAAACTTGCTCGAGATGACCTCTTCGTTCGAGGGCTTGAGCTCTCCGTGCGGTTCTTTGGCGATATGAAACCAGTTCGCTCTGGTTTTCTTGCACGAGGACTTGCACTGCTTTAAATTTGGGAAATTTAAAAGGCTAAGCTGGCAATGTTTTAAATTAGGGAAAAAGAAACAACAAATAGACAATGATATTTGCAGCAAGGAAAGTTAAGCTTCTAATTATGGGGTAAGCAAAAACAATTCTCCATGCTAGTGGTTTTAAAGAGAAAGAATATGACGCACAACACTCTGTTGTTGGTTCCCTTCTCCTTTTCCCCTCTATCTGTTCCTTATTGTTATGGCATAATTGGCTTATTGGCTGTTGGTGATGTAAATATAGCTAAATTTTGGGCTAATTGGCTTATAATTAGTTGCAGTGGTGGAATATCAGCGGGTGGTTTTGAAACTTCTGTCGGATTCCATTAATATGAAGGTTACGGGTTTGTTGTTAAGGTTACGGGTTGGTTATTAAGGTTACGGGTTGGTTATTAAGGTTATACGGGTTGCTTGTTAAGATTAGGAGTTGCTTGTTAAGGTTACGCATTGGTTGTTAAGGTTATGCGTTTGTTGTTAAGGTTACACGTTGGTTGTTAAGGTTACGGGTCAGTTGTTAAGGTTACGAGTCGGTTGTTAAGGTTACGAATCGGTTGTTAAGATTACACGTTAGGATTTATATGTATATATATTTTGAGTGACATGAATACTTTAGGCCACTTGGCCTAGTGGTAAAGTTTAGGAGTTTGGACAAGATGTTATGGGTTCAAACCCCTACAGTCATAATATATATTTAAGGGTCTTTGAATTCTAATAATATTTTTAGAATATTCGTTGTTAAGGTTACGGGTTTGTTGTCAATGTTACAGATTTGTTGTTAAAGTTACGCGTTTGTTGTTAAGGTAACCTTTGCAACGAATATTCTAAAAATATTTTTAGTATTCAAAGAGCCCAAGAGCCTTGTTGTCAATGTTACAGGTTTGTTATTATGGTTACGGGTTTGTTGTTAAGGTTACGGGTTTGATTGTTAATGTTACGAGTTGATTGTCAAGGTTACCTTAACAACAAACGCATAACCTTAACAACAAACCCGTAACCTTGACAACAAACCCGTAACCTTAACAACGAATATTTTAAAAATATTCGTTATTAAGGCTCTTGGGTTTGTTGTCAAGGTTACGGGTTTGTTATTAAGGTTACGCATTTGTTGTTAATGTAACCTTAACAACGAATATTCTAAAAATAGTTTTAGTATTCAAAGAGCCCAAGAGCCTTGTTATCAAGGTTACGGGTTTGTTGTTAAGAATAAGTGTTTGGTTGTTAATATTAGAGGTTGATTGTTAACGTTAATTTTACAACAAACACGTGACCTTGACAACAAACCCGTAACCTTAACAAGGAATTAGATGTGTCCATCCAGGCCGGCCGGGGCCCGGGCTGGGCCGGTTTATTTTTCTTTTAATTCTATTTAAATTTAAATCTATACTACTTCTAAAAGAGAAAACAAGTGTCAAAACTTTTGCATGCTCATTTTGCCTCTTTCAACTTGCTTAATTATAATTTTATCCTGAATTTCTACCTATTAATTCTTATTTTGCCCTTTCCTCTGCCGCTCCGACCCCCGCACCCCTCCTTGCCTCTTCATCTCTGATTCTTCCGTTTCTCAACTACTGAGAAACGGATAAATCCCCGCCATTCTCTGCCGCTCCACCTATCAGCCCCCCTTATGACTCTTCCGATCCTTCCTTTTCTCAACCCCCGCCCTCTGCCTCCTGCCTCTCCCATTCCTCTAATTCTTCCCACGGATACCACCAGCTTGGGGGGTGGGTAATACTGAGGATCCTCGAGGACTGTAATCAACAGGAGGCCCTCTTCTTGAAGCAGAACTCATGCCAGGGTCACGAGTCAATCGGCTTGTTTGAGATTGTCGTTCTTGTGCTGCATGTCCATGTACTTCTTCAATCTTCTTTGGACCTTCAACTTTCCTTCTCTGCTGCATCATATTTTTCCTCAAATCAATCACATCCCTCAGCATGAACCTTGATCAACGCCAGATCCCTGAAAACCAATATTGCATTATCTTGTAAATACTGACGCAAGAGGTAATTTGCTTTATTTTGTGAATTAAGTAGTAACACTTTGGAAATAGATTGTGTTTTGTTTGTATTTTGCATCCCTGGTGTGAAACTTCTGTTGAACTTATAATGGAAGAGTGAATGTGGTTACGGGAATATTTCAATGACATTATATTTAGTCCGTTTGGTTTCCTCTAATTTGTACTACTTTACTATTTCGTATGTTTTGCCGAGAATAACAAGAACAGATTGATCTCTTCTAATAGCCCATCAATGGTGTCATGCAAGATGTTGCTAAAATTATTCATTGATTTTTATAAAGAAATATTCATACTGTATCTCTTTTTCTTGGGTTTTTGTGCTTGGCATATTTTCACTTAAATTATCTGCATCCAATTTTTTGCACGTACACACTTTTTTGTAATGCAGTTTATTGTGTATTTGGACAAACTTGATCATATTATAAGCTTTTCTTTGTGTCTTATGTGCTATTGTCGGCTTGTTTGCATGTTGTTTCTGATGCCAAAGGTTACTACTTACTAGCATAGATATGGTGTAGGATATACTTGTAATTTCAAGTATCTGATTATGATTGCTCCCTTTTTCCCTTTTTATTCATTTGATTTTATAGTGATCTGCTTGTTTGTTTTAGTGAATTGCATTATCATGGTTAAATCTATCATGTTGGGGTTGTTTACTCATCTGAACTTTTATGTGATACCCTCCACGACATTATTTTGCTTATATCCTGTAAGTGAAAATTCTCTCATTGTTTTCTGCAAGTTGGGTATCTTCTTTTTCCTATTCGGAGCATTGTTACTCTGCTTCTTAGACTGATATCCAATTCAGGGAATTATTATGGTATTGCAGTATGCACTCTTAGTTTGATATGTACAAAACAATATATACATGGTTTTCAGTTGATTTTATCCAGGCTCAGTTTAAATCTTAATCATATAGCTCATTCTGGGTTTAAAGTGAAACGGTGATTCTAGAATGTGAAGTTGATTCATATTGATTGACATCTCTCCGCAGAAGCTTGGAAGTTTTGGAATAATGTAGAGTTAATAGAAGCAGAAACGTGAAGAAATGATTCAAGTCGAGAAGTTCAGTCATACATTATTGGAAACCCATCATATGTTTTAAACTCATTAGGAACTTTGAATTCACAAGCAAAAGACACTTGATCTAAAGTATTACAAATTGTTTAAAGTGTTAAAAATAATATGTGAATTGACCACATCTCCACACTACAAGTTGCTGACCAATTTTTCAAAAGCTGAGATCATTGATTCTGCCTTCAACTGTGGAAGTAAAACATGCGGAAGAAAAAAAAAACAAAATACTAAATGAGTATCATTAAGAAGTATATAACTGAATGGTATTTTAAGTAGTGAATTGTACTAACATTTAATTAAACTATGAGAAAAGATCTTGAACACACACACACACAATTATTCAAAAATTAAAAGAAAAGAATTTTCTTGGCATGGGAAAGGTACTGTAGTGATATCTTTAATCAGCTGAAAAATAGCATGGGGAAGGTATATCTTCCAGATACGCTATTTTCTTGGCATTCTCTTGTTATGTGAGAAAATAAATGATGGTGTTATCAAAAGTATTGGTCATACGCTATTTTCTTGGCATTCTCTTGTTATGTGAGAAAATAAATGATGGTGTTATCAAAAGTATTGGTCACTCAATTAGGTTTAGAATAAATAAATGATGGTGTTATCAAAAGTATTGGTCACTCAATTAGGTTTAGAATCAAATTGTTTTATTTTTCTTTTTCTTTTTTTTAGAAAAAATATCAAGTTATTATCTGTAGAGCATTTATCAGAAAAAATCTTCAAGGTTAACAAGAGCAGATTATTTTTGTTCAAATAAGCATAATATTTACTTCATGTGCTAAATTTAATAAGAATAATTAACCTTCTAATAAACAAGAGCAAAGGAATGTATTCATATATAGACTGACACTTGATTAGAGCTGTTTACTGAATTTGGACTGTGTAGCAGTTTCTCTAGCTAATTGCTCCAGTTGCCATTTTTTTAGAGAATTGTATATGCAATTGTAACTATTTATCTCACTAGACTTGTAGCCTTTCTGGCAGTCTAATTGCAAACTGAAGTCCATTGCGAAAGTGACCTACAGTCTATTTGATTTCATTTTTCCAATTTATTTTGCAACTGCAGAAAGTTTGCAGTTACAGCAAAACAGACAGTTGCAATTATAGCTGTTTTTTGGCAAATTTTATGTGTAGTTATAGATGCAGTTGAAGCTACAGTTATAATTGTTATGTGCGAGTTGGGAACAATTCTTTTGCAGTAAAGTTTATTCATTCCCTCCATAGTTATGTGATGAAGGATTGCGCTTGTTCATGTCTAAATTTCTTATGCACATGGAAAGCTTTGATAAGCCCCTTAAACTCCTGTGGTGAGGATCCTATCTCAAACTTCTTACTTAAAAATACTTGTAATCTTCATTTTCTCACTCTATTTCCACTCTTTGTCATCTGCCCTAGCAAATACTTCAAGGTCAAAACTGATGAGAAGAGTCAGAGTTCAAGGAAGAGGCAACACAAAGTTATATCCTATACTCACTTCAATTGTTTGTTGTATGGCATGTTGATCCATTTAGTTATATGACCTGATTTTTAATATTCTGATTTATTCGACAGGCTTCAACATTGTTTATGATATTGTTTATTCATTCTTTTCCAATTGACTAGGTTCACGGTTTGTTCTATTCCTGGTTATCGGTGATATGTATCTGGTTACTTGACTATCCAATCTTTATTGGAAGTATTACTCATTATGAGTTGAATATTTATTTTCCGAAATGGGTCGATGAAACAATTGAAATAGTATTCTTGCAAGTAACAGGTGCACATACATATTTCTTGATGGAAAAAGTTGGACTGATAATACAAGTTGGGACAATTGATGGAATCAATTTAGTTTAGTTTGATATTTAGTCAAGAGTTCAAGAAAGAGGCAATGCAAAGTTATATCCTACTCACTTCAAGTGTTTGTTGTATGGAAACTCTGTTGATCCATTTAGTTATATGACCTGATTTTTAAAATTCTGATTTCTTCGAACAGGCTTCAATATTGTTTTATGATATTGTTTATTCATTATTTCCAATTGACTAGGTTCACGGTTTGTTCTATTCCTGGTTACCAGTTATGTATCTGGTTACTTGACTATCCAGTCTTTATCGGAAGGATTACTCATTATGAGTTGAATATTTATTTTCCGATATGGGTCGATGAAACAATTGAAATAGTATTCTTGCAAGTAACAGGTGCACATACATATTCCTTGATGGATAAAGTTGGACTGATAATACAAGTTGGGACAATTGATGAAATCAATTTAGTTTGATATTTCTTGGTGTGCTTGTCCGAATTCTTATCATATTGTTTAAATTTTCATCATGGTTTGTTCTACTGAAGCTCAGCTGATTAATTCTTTAATTTCGCTTATTTGTTGGAGAATGCGTCTGATAGAGCTGCAATTTGGGGGAGAAGGGAATGCTCCATATATTTAATTTCTCCTTTATCAGGTAAAGAGTAGATTCTTGTGTTCAGCTCCTTCATTTTGTTCTGGCGTGCAATTTATTTATCAAAATGTTAACGTTTATATACAGTTTAAATGTCATATGGTGTGTTATGGTCATTAGTAGCGGAGATATAGAGAAACATTGCTTTGTTTGTTCTTCAGTTCTTAAGATATTAATATGAATACATTCTCATTTTGTTATTTCTTTTTGTTTAAGGAGAGGGGACATTAGTGTATGATTTACTTGCTCATGATATTTTATGCATCTTAATGACATTATTTCTCTCGTTTGATTGAGATATCATAAAGGAATCATGTGAAAATTATTAAATTGCCTCTTTTTCCTCAGTTTAATTGAAAAAGACTAAATTATTGTGCAATCAGAGACAAAAAGTAAATTCCACTGAGGTAGAGCGTATTAATTGCTGCACTAGCTCAAATTGCAATATCACTTTCCAACAAAAATTCTCATTGAACTTTTTGTAGTTTTGTATATTTATATTCAGAATATTATAGAATTGATGTAATCAAATTTTAGTAAACAATATAAGCAAAAAATTCAACTATAAAAATAGTCCGTCAGAAATTTTAAACCCAAGAGAAACCTTGAATGTTATTACAAACCTTGAATCCACAAGGTCTCATTACAAACACTTGAATCTTATTAGAAACCTTGAATCTACAATGGAAGATAAATAGAACAGCTAATGGACCTCATGATCACAGCTCCTAAATTATTCCCGATTGCAATTTAGTTTTTCAAAAGCCGGAATCATTGATTCCACCTTCATCTGTAGAAGAAAAACAAGAAAAAAAATACAAAATAAATTATATATTTGAGAGTATCAAAACATAACAACATGTAATTACAATGACAAAACATGAGAAAGAAACTTCAATATACTCGATACTCTATCTAATTTTGAATACTATCAATCTAAATTGACAATTTGAATTTCAAAATTAAAATTCTGTATCATTGGATGTGATCATTGTGATGTAATACATATTAACGACCTTAAAATAAAGAAAATTAAAATTCTGTATCATTGGATGTGATCATTGTGATGTAATACATATTAACGACCTTAAAATAAAGTTTTCAATGAATTCAGTGTGTTTTCGATCATCTATTAAGGGAGCAAAAAATTAAGCACCTTTATGATTATTTTTAAATGTTGATTTTAACAACGCAAGACACATACATAAAATATGTTGAAATCTTTCAAAAAAGATTAATTTTTATTATGTAGTAGATCATATTTTTAACAAAACTATTTTCAATTTTGCAATTCAAGAATCAAGTTTCTTTCCCTCTGAGTGTGTGCAGTTATGATATGCTACTATATATGTATTATGTAGCAAGCCGATAATATAGAGAAATGGAAAGAGTTTATTCATGATTAAATGTAATGTAGAGATATCTTAAATCATCAAATTGAAAATTTAGAATATAAAACGTATTACAAATTACACAAGAGGTAATTTGGCTTTCAACAATAAAGCTATGTTTGCGAGCTATCATGTTGACTCTTTTTCCTCTCATTGTATGTATATCGCCATGCTAATTTAATACTTTTCAGATTTGTAATGTGATGATGAATATTAGTTATTTACAGTTAAGATCAACTTACCTCTTCTTAATTATACAGTCATTTTTATCACGCGAATCATATATATGGTTGATTAGGTTCCTTCTCTATGGGCATTATCCTAAGTCTTGTGAGATAATTGTTAATTGGCATTCATCTTGTGTATTGTGTATAAGTTTAATGTATAATTATGGAAACATTATGGATTTTGACTTTTGTAGTTTCTTAATATGCATTACGTGCAACGCACGTATTGCATACTAGTTATAAAAAAAAGATAAAAAAATTAATAAAAAACAATAATTTTATTAATCACTTAAAATGACATAAATTACAAATAAAAAATTATAAAAATAAATTCTTTATTAATAATTAATAAATTATTTATAAATTACAAGTATAAATTTATTTTGGAATTCATCGTATCACAATAGATAAGTACATCCCAACTAGGTTTTTTTAAATTTCTTTTCTTTTCTTTTTTTTTGATAAAAAATGCTAAAAATTAGTTTAACATTATTATATTTTATATAATTATGTATTAGTATATACTTACAAATTATTATATAACTATATATTATATATACATATATTATATGTAAATATATTGTATATATTTATAAGTTATAACTTGAGAGAGAGAGAATCGCATAAGTAGCCGTTGTCCGTTGGGCTAATGAAGAAGAAGTAGTCGTTGTAATATATTATACTTATATATACTTATATACTAAGAGAGAGAGAGTATACACACATACACATATTATATATATATAAGAGAGAGTATACTTATATAAGAGGGAGTATACATATATAAGAGAGTGTATACTTATATATACATATATACAAAGAGAGCGAGTATATATATATACAAACATATATTATACATATATAAGAGAGTGCATACTTATATAAGAGAAAGTATACATATATAAGAGAGAGTATACTTATATATACATATATACTAAGAGAGAGAGAGTATATATATACATACATACATACATTATACATATATAAGAGAGAGTATTCTTATATAAGAGAGAGTATACATATATAAGAGAAAGTATACTTATATATACTTATACATATATATACTTATATAAGAGAGAGTATACTTATATATACTTACATACATACATTATACATATATAAGAGAGAGTATTCTTATATATACTTATATAAGAGAAAGTATACTTACATATACTTATATACTAAGAGAGAGTATATATATACGACATATTATACATATATAAAAATATATTATATATACATATATTATATATATATACATATATTATACATATATAAAAATATATTATATATACATATATTATACATATATAATACATATAAAAAAATAAAAAAATCACTATCTCGGGTTGGGCTGGGCCCGGGCCGAGCCTGGCCCGGAGCCCGGACTTGGCCCGGTTTTCCGAGCCGAGCCCCGGGCCAGGCCCGGGCCAGCGGGCTTTTTGGACACATCTACAAGGAATATTCTAAAAATATTTTTAGAATTCAAAGAGGCCCAAGGCCCATCAAAGATCCTTAAATATATATTGTGGCTGGAGGGGTTTGAACCCCTAACCTCTTGTCCAAACTCCCAAACTTTACCACTAGGCCAAGTGGTCCAAAGTATTCATGTCACTCAAAATATATATACATATAAATCCCAACGTGTAACCTTAACAACCGATCTGTAACCTTAATAACCAACTCGTAACCTTAACAACTGATCCGTAACCTTAACAACCGACCCGTAATCATAACAACCGACTCGTAAACCTTAACAACCGACACGTAACTGTTTGGGTCAAAAAACGATGTTTTCATTGTGATTGAATCTATTACAACTTTAATCGTTTACAATAAACTCAAATAAAAAGTTGATCTTTTTATAAGATCTCCTTATACAATGAAAATACAAAAGATACGACTCTTGTCAAACAGTGCAACGAAAGTTTATCATCGCTGCAGCGAGCTTGTTTGGGTCAAAAATCGATGTTTTCATTATGATTGAATCTATTACAACTTTAATCGTTTACAATAAACACAAATAAAAAGTTGATCTTTTTATAAGATCTCCTTATACAAAAAAAATACAAAAGATACGACTCTTGTCAAACAGCGCAACAGAAGTTTATCACCCACTGCTTGCGTGGGAGCTTTGCCTGTGTCGGGGACATTAATATCCGTGGACCGCCGCGGATCAGATCCGGTTGACAGATTGGTGATCAAAGCTCTTACTTCACGAAGGAAGTAATCACTATAGCGATGATCTCGACCAAGCGAGATCACGGCTCTTCTCGAGATTTAAGACCAAGCTTAAATCCGGAGGAATAGGGAACAAGTCTCAGATCTCTCAAACTCCACTCTTTATGCGCAGGAGATCACCAAGATCTACTAACCCTTGCTATAAATTCGTAGCTCCACTCTCCAATTCGGCAGTGTTTCACCCTCTTAATGTCCAGCCTCAGAAATGAGCACCCGAGCTCGTATTTATAAGCTTCGGAAGCAGGTATTTGGATAAGAACGAGAGATTCCTTCTTATCTTCAGTTGAA